TAAAGTGTCACAGAAAAGTTAAATTAAATTAATATTCTAAAAATATTATCTTGTGAATCAGATTTTTATTCGTAAATAGTTTTCTTATTGTCTAATTCAAGGTTGTGTAATAACGGTATTGAAAAAAGCTAAAAACTATTAGCTAATTACTAATTCAAAATTGAGCATCCTTATTGCATGGCTGTTGAATAGGGTTCTAGTGCATTCATTCAAAATGATATGATCACACCACTCACACCCTCAATATAAAATAAAACTATTTTTTATTTTTATTTTAAACTACATTTATTATTCTAAAATATTTTTATTTTTTAAATAAAATATTATTCATTGAAGAGTGACGTTTCTATACTAAAAAACACCAAATTTTAAAAATAAAATGTGTCCAAAAAAAGACATACCATTAGACACTCCATAGAAGTGTCGTATGTGTTTCTAGAAATGTTGAACATAGGTGTTCGTGTCTATCAAGTATCAATACGTGGTCAGACCCTCGATCTGCTGAACATAGTGTCCATGTTTCACATATTACAACGTTATAGTCCATGAATCCCTACAACAATCGTTTTTACTTGGCACGCTCATGACCACCAAAGATTAGTGGTAATGAGGTTTATCAATGCCACATCAAAAGGTTGAATATTTTGGATTGGTTTGCATTGCTTTCAACTAGCTGATGGCTTGTTTGCTTCGTGATACTCTAGCTGATAATTCATATAAAAAATAGATCTTAGAAATTAGAATGAAAATTGAAGTATCTCCTTTTTGGAGAATATTTTGTCCGCCGATCCAAACAACATACACCATCTCCCATTTTGGAGGCCTTAGGGCATTTATTTCACCCCAAATCGGCACACACAACTCTGTGGTCCTAAGCCCATAAAAAAAAGGAAAAAATAATAAATATTGGACAATAATTCTTTTCGAAAGAGTCCACTTGAAGAAAGAAAAAATGGTGTTAGATCAATGTCCAAGGAAGATTTATTTGATTTCGAATTTTTGTAGCTATCTCATTATAAATATGGTGTTAGATTGATGTCCAAGGAAGATTTATTTGATTTCGAATTTTTGTAGCTATCTCATTATATCATTGGATGAGTAATTAAAAAAAAAAAAAAAAAATTGAGTTCTTAAAAGGCCAGACTTAGCCGCCAATCAAATGGACGGCCTCAGGTTTTCCAAAATCTTTTTCTAGAGCTTTTTTCTCAATATTTTTCATGAGCTTCTTCACCAAAGTTGCCAAATAAATACCCTTAAGGCCCTAAGAATGAAGAAAGGCAGACCAATATAATTGGCCGCCCAAGTCCGATAAAATGGTTTGTCGTGTTTTTTATTTAGTTGGTAAATCAATTACTTCGACATCTAATTTATATTTGTTTATGCGTATTTATTTTTATATTTCTTATAATTTTGTGTTATCTAATTTTTCAAACTTAAAATGTTTTGAGCTTCTATTTCTTTTGGTTTCTATTTGGTTTGTATCAGGTTGCCACCTTAAACAATCCAATTAAGGCACCCCGCCAAATCTTATCTTAACATGTAATTTTGAAGCAATTTTTTTTATCTTTAATTATAAAATTTTGAACTCCAAAAATGGTTAAACTCAAGTAGATCTATAAATATATAATAATATTGAAAATGGACCGTCTAGATAATGTGTTGCAAGATGCATTATTTATGGGACTCAAAATTCTTTTTTTTTTTTTTTTTTTTTTTTTTTCTAGATTCATACATCTTGATGTTGAGATGATTAATTAGAGGGTTTCTCAAAGTTAAAACAACATTTTCCAATAGATTTTTTAGGTGCATTTTTAATTCTACATTTTAAGGTTGCAACCTTATATAAACTTTTTCTTTTTCTAAATTATGGAATGGGATATATTCTAATAAATAGACAATGCCCTACATGTATGGATATACTTGAGATCTGGGGTTGTGCTTTGATTGTTTAGAGCCTCGGCTCAACACAAACCACACCAATTAAAAAATTGCATATAACCTTTAATTATAGTTATAGAGTGACTATAGTCACCATACCATAGTTAAAGCATTTTAATGACAAAAAAATTAGTGTATTTTTTTTGGTACCTATTAAGTAGGTGTGGTGTTTGTCAAAGTATTTAATGAACAAATTTATATGGTATATTTTTATGGATGGATTAGTTATTGATGGCTTTGACATAATTTTTATTTTTTAGAATTTCAAAATTTCTAGTATTTTAAAATTATCCAATTTTTTGAGCCTAGTTCGATATATTGGCGATATCTTTGCATAAAGTATTTTTGCCGATCCGTATTTTTTACTTGATGTTTTCATCCGATTTTTTAAAATAAAAACGATTCCTTTTTTATTTTATGGTGAACCGATTTATTGATAGTCTCTGACTTGCTAACTATGGGTTTGACTCTCTACAATATGCATATATCAAGTTGATAGATCAAACTGTAGTATTACTAAGATCCGGTGCAAAAAAAGTTAAGGTTTTTAGCATCTCATAAATTTCAATCAAATTTCTTTGATTTCAAGGTATTTTTTAGGAATTTCCTTAGGGGTAAATGTTCAAATTGCATCAACAAGAGGTATATATTATTCACTTAATATTTTTATATTTATTTATTTTATTTTTTTTGGGCTTGAATTTAGTGTTTTCATTGGTTTTCTTGAAAAAACCTACTTTTCGTTAATAAAATCTTTAAATTTTTTCAGGGCTTTTCTTTGATCATGTGTTAGGAGGTGTTTATACTAGATCTTTGATTGTTCTTCTATATTTTCTAAAAATCTTTATTTTTGTCACTCGATTTTGATTTATTTTAAGAAAAGCCTCAAGTTAAAAATATATGAGTAATGATCTTATGATACCCTCCCACACCCATGTGTATAGGACCTCAAATGATTACCATTAAATTTAGAATATTTTTGTTAATTTTCTCTAAGATTTTACTGATTTTTTTTATTGGTTTTAATTTTTGGAAAATAGTATCAATGTAGTAACTTTGCTAGAAAAATTGTATTTTCTTGTTAATATGTAGCTAATTACGTTTTTTAATATTATTTACAAAAACTATGATTATTATTGATGAATCATATCATATAAAATACATTTTGTAGATTTATATTGTTGTTATAAATATTACATTATAGCTTAATAACATTTAAATTAAATATTGATAATACAATGCAATTACGATAAGTAAATTAATGGAACTATAATTAATAGGGTTATAATAACTGATTTATTATGTTGATTTTAATCAAATTACTCATAAGAGTAACAATTTAATAATTTACTCATAGAAATCTTTCGATTTAAGTTCAAAATACCAATAAAATAGCTTAAAAGAGTAATTTTTTAAATAGTTCATCTCTCGTAGGTATTTTAATAAATTCTCCTATTAAGAGTATATATTTTTTTTGATATTCATAGAAGGGGATTCCAACTATCATCCATGTATTATGCATTCTAGTTTTGCCTATTATTTCTTCCTATTAGAGTCCAGTCGCAAGCTTGTTGTAGTTGTCGAGCTTAATATATACTATTGTCAGCTTGTGAAATAACTCAAATTTCAAATCACTATATTGTTATACGACAACAATATAATTTCTTGATAAGTGCATGCTTCTCTAGATCCATGTCATTGCAATGAGTTGCATTTTAAACTTCATTTTAATTACAAAATCAATGTAATGATCAGCAAACATAAACATCAAACATGCGATCAAAATTTATATATTTTCGATAACATAAAAATTTATGTTGAAGTACCCTCAATTTTTTAATAATATTTAAAAAAACAGTGATTTCATGCAACGTTGCATATCAATGTGATGCCACAATTTTAAAAAACTATGTTAGAGCCATTTGTTTGGTCCAAAATTTGAAATATACACTATTTTCATTCTAATGAACAATACAAAAGAAAATAAAATTTGAAAACACAACCTAAAAAGTAATTTTTTTGGCCCAATCAACATAGGCCTTCGATTTTGGAGAGATGTTTAGATTTAGGCCATAGAATGATCTTTTTTCTTTCAAAATTTTTTAGATAATTTTATTGTCATTAGATTAACAATATTACAAAAGAAAAATGATTTTGATTTCATAAAAGCCTAGATCTTGAAATTCATCAAATGGATGGTCCATATTCATTGTTGGAGGGAACTAATTTTGACTATATCTAAAGTGCAAATTGATTATTTTTTTTTATAGGATTGATTATGAGGATGAAGAGAATGTGTGTGCAAAAGTTGGGGTCATACAAATGCCAAAAACATAATTTTCTACAGGTGGATTGCATTATACTTTTTCTATAAGTGTGGTTGCACTATACTACTATGCAACGATATATGAAAATCATTCCCCTATTATAAAACAGAGCAATGATCCCATACAACAGTTGTATCATGATATAATGCAACGACATTACTAGAAAACCATGGTTGTGGTATTTGTATGACTTTAAATTTTACACACGCTCTCTCTTTATCTCAATAATCAATCTTTAAAAAAAAAATCAATTTGAACTCGTAGATATGGTCAAAATAAGTCATTTTAAAAAACAAATCTAGACCATTCATTTTGTTAATTTCAAGATCTTAGCTTTTATATACTTAAAATCATTTTTTTTCTTCTTTGACATTGTTCATCTAATGATAAAAAAGCCATAAAAACAAATGAAAATAAAAAAATCATTTTAAGGTCTAGATCTAAGCATCTCTCCAAAACGCACTGCCTATGTTAATTGCGCTAAACAAATACTTTATAAGTTGTGTTTTCAATTTTTTTTTTTTTGTTGTGATTTTTATTAGAATGAAAAGTATATATTTCAAATTTTTGAAATGGTTATAAGATGATTTTTTAAAATTATTACATCATATTACTACGGAATCGATTGCATGAAATCATTGCCTTATAAAATAAAATTATAAAAAATTAATCTTTTTACGACCTTTTTTTAAGGCCGAATCAGCCCACTATCTATTTAGATCGCTGATTCGGAAATTTGCCCGGTTTTCCGCTTTTTCGACACCGCTGGTTAGCGGGTATATGAGAACAAGGCGCAGCAACTTGTTTTTTTAGTATCCATTTTCACTTGCAGGAAATTGGTGGTTTTGTAATTAGTATAAAACATAGCGCGATTTAGCATCTCCCGGTTCTCTCTCTCACTAAAAACCCGAACTTCATTTCTCTCTCTAAAGAAAGCGCTGCTTCTGCTCAATAAGTCTACAGTGATCCGCCATGGCCTCTGTGACCTAGCCTTTCATGCCTGAATTTGTACGGAACTCATAAGATTCTGACTCTGACCTAATTCAGGGCTCTCATTTCTCTTTTGTGAGAATAAGCCCTAGGATGTCGTCTCTTTCCAGGGTTTAGTTTCTCCTTGAGATATCTTTCTTTCATTGTTTTTTAAGGTGTTTATTGGTTTCAGATTATCCATAGCTTTCCCTTTCTTAATTTAAGTGCTTCAGAAGAAATTGTGTTTGAATTGAGCCAGAGTTTGTTATGGTAGAGTGACATCTTGGTTCTACTCCAATTTCTGGGGTCTTGTATTGTGCTCTTGCCCTAGTAAAATGTATGCAGATAAATTCAATCCTTTAGGTACCAAAAGATCAGTTAAAGATCGACTCGGCAATGGCTATGATACCTATGGAGCTGAAAAACGGTATGTATTCCAATTCTTTATCTAATCAGGAGTTATATTTGCTCTAATTTTCTTGCCCTGACCTTCTTTTACTGGATTCTGATTCTTCAGTTGATTATGTGTTATTATTTGCTCCTTTTTTCACTTTTTTCTCTCTTCATTTGATTATGTGTTATTATTTGCTCCTTTTTTCGCTTTTTGCTCTTCGTTGAAAAAGGGAAGTCTTTTTGGTAATGCGTATTTTATTGAATGAACTGCAAATTTGTTTTTGGCAAGTTTGGAAGGTACATTTAGTCAAATGGAGGATATTTATGCTTCTTTTTTTTTCTTCCTTTTCTTTTCTTTGGTGATGGATTAAGATATGTTCTATTGGCTTTATATAAATGCTCCAAATTGTCGCATTTGTTTTGCATTGGACCTTTTATGGTGGATATTTTCTTTCTCAACATTTTACTGCTAATATGTGCCTATTCACTCTTATCTCAATAAACATAACCACTGTGTAATACTAGCTGGAAGTTTTTGTTTCACACCAAGCAGACCACTCGTAAAACTGCTATGGAAGAATCACTGGTGCCTGGATCTATAAGTATGTGTAGTTTCTATGTTTCCACTTCACAAAATCCATTACGGTTTAGTGAAAGATCAGGGTTTAGAGTGTCAGGGATGCAGCTGCTGGACTGTATCCCCTGACATCTTCACCGTTCATTTACATTGGATGGTGCTGATGAAGCCCAAAAATCGAGATTTCCGGTGGTCCAACAACTGTTGTCACCTGACGCACCAAACACTTTTCCTTAGTGAAGGGGCGATCATGAAAGCCCATTAGTTTTGAACAAATGTTTTGAAGAAATAGTGATACTTCTATTTTATCACAAAAAGAAAATGAAAATGAAAATGGGTAGCTATACTTTGGAGAAGTTGTGTAAGTGCATAACTGGGCATCGATTCTTTGGAGAAGTAGCATAAGTGCATAAAGATATGGGTTGCCTATCTTTAGAAGCCAGATTTACTAGAGGAGTGTTCTTTAAGAATTTGTTGAATTTGTGGTTGCCTTGCTGTAAGTGAATGAGATGGGTGAGAAGGATATAGAAGAATTGCATAGTTTTCTGTGTTTTCCAAAAGATAGCTGTCTCAATTCAAGGACAGAATTAGCTGAGATCGTCATCTTTATGCAAAAAAGAGTGATTCTATCTGGTTTTCAAGATTAGGGCTAGCTTTTAGAGTTAGCAGTTTGTTCTTTTGGTTAAAAACATTGGAGTTTTCTACTAGTTTGCGACAAATATATTGGCAAATAGAAAAACACATGCTAAGACTCTTGAAGGTGGTGTTGCTTTACTTAAGAGGGAATGTTTCATATGAGTCAGGTGTGAAGAGTTAGAAATTTGTGTTAAATGAATGTGGTACTATTAAGGAAAGTTTAGAAATTTGTAATGTTGTACTATTAAGGGAAGTTTTCCCAAATAGTTGGGAAAAGGCTCTGAGGGTGATGATGAAGAATGTGGTACTATTAAATACTTCAACTGTGAAAGCCAATTTCAGAATAGTTCAACTGTGAAAGCCAAGATGGTTAAGTTGCACCAAAATTGTCAATGCTTCCTAAATTTGGTGTTTATGTACACGGATATTGTATTTATGTGTTTTCCTTGGGAGTTCATAAGGTCTCCTGGAATCTCTGAATTTATTATACATAGATCATTTGCCATAGAATAAGAAAGGTAGTACTAATATGAATCATTAGGCATATGCCAAACCTATATTTTGGCAACATGTTTTGCTTTTTACTTTTGGGACAGGTGATCACGATCTGGTCCTTGGTAACAGTATTTATTAAGTTTCATAATTAAGAAAAATATGATATTTTGGGTTTATTACAGTGTTAAGATTATTTTTGAAACCAAACTTTCTTTAGGTGCACACTGATTTTCTTTCATATCATTTAGTTCAGGTTTGTTGACTCCATTGATTCAGGCTTTCTCGAACATGATTTGTTTCAACCTTATGAAGCATGAGTAAAAATTTGCCTGCTATTTTGCAGATATATGACTTTTCTAGATTTGACTTTTTTTGTTGCTGTTCTTCTCATTACTCAGTGGTGAAGAATTTTTAAGTTTTTTCCTCACCATGATCAATGGTTGTGTATGTTTGTTTCATGGATATTCGGGGAAAATATATTACAATTATCTTAGTGTCCGATGAAGTTCCATTTTTTTTAAGTTTAATTGTATGAATTAGACGCATGACAACCTAAGTTTTTGTCAGAACTTTCTTTGATTTGTGTACATTTAGAAAGATAAATTGGCTTTTGTTTGTCAAATAGAAGACTAAATACATTGTGAACAGCGTGTTAGTTAGAGATGCTGCTACATATGACATACTCTATGTACAGTTCAATGAAAGAAAAAATGCTACCAATTTCTCTAGCATGAAATTAACTGGTTTTATTTTCCATGATTATTTTCTACAGGCAGCGCCAAGATGTTTCTGGCAAAAGCATCCAGGAGGAATCTCAACATGCATGTAAGGGTTTTACATTCTGATAATAAGTTCTGGTTTTCCATATAAGATTTTACTTCCATGTAGTTTTCAAACCTTTTCATGTCCTTGGATGCTTAGATGGTAAAGCTACTGATCAAGATTTGAGAAGAAAGCTTTTGCAAATGGAGGTTCCTCAAAGCTCTAAAATCAATAGTCAAAGTAATGTAAGTGGAATGCCTGATAAAAGGTTGAGCACAACCAAGAATCCATTTTCAGATGCCACCCCCACTGTTGCACCTGATGTCAAGGGAAGATCTGATGCTGAGTTAAAGAAACCCACAGCTCAGATTGCATCTAAACCAGTTACCACAGAACACAAAAAGCAGGTTATAGTAAGTTTAGAAATTTTGTAATCTCTCTGCCTTACATATAGCCATTCTCCTGCAGAATCACATGTTCTTGGATGATACCATCAAGTAAATGACTCTGGTTTTTTATTCTTTTATAGTTGCTTTGCTCTATCACCCATTATTTGCTCTTTATGGTTAATTTTAGCAGAGAAATGTAGAGTTTCAGCCTCCTTAGGATCTTGTGAGCACAGATATATGGTCCACATTGTGCTGCATTTTATCATTATTTGATGGGTCTCTATCGATAACCAACATCTATTAGTAGTAAATAATGTGGAGAAAAAATTTCTTTCGGAATTGACTTATTTTGTTTGGTTATTGAAGAGTGTGACAAATTGAACAGTCCCTGTTCTCATCTTTTTGGGATCAATAGGGCTTAGATCAATTGTATGCATGTAATTCAATGGCTATAATTTAGTCCATCTTCTTTTGAAAACTGAAGGTTTGTGATTCTTTATGTTAGCAAAAAGGTTGATGGATTAATGACTCGACTATTATTTAAGGACTCATCTGGATGCCACTACAAAACATGTTTTGATGCTTTTGGGTCGTCATTTCAGATGACTGCGAGTTTGTGGTTGAGTGGCCTGTATGATTGCCAATTTGGAATGCTGGACTCACATTGACCAAAATGCATGTTGCAGCTTGGCAAGTTGATGTGTGAGCTGCTCATTGATAATTGTTTTTTTTATTTTCAAGTGCTTCTTACATATAGAGAAGATTAGATGTATGTGTTGGCATCCTTTCTCATTCTCAATATGGGCAATGGAATTTGCTGGAGTAGGCAAGATGTGTCCATGTGGTCGATGTATTTTTGGCATCCGCTGTCACTCCCTCTATGGATTGTTGAGGTCGAGGGAGTAAGTAGGATGTGTCCATCTTGCAGTAGTATCATCTCCTTTGCATTGTTGGAGTGAGGTTTCCTCTCACCCTTAAGTTGTTATTGTGTCTCCCAATTATAAATCCTTGTTTCCCTCGGTGTGTACAATGTTTATTATAGGTCATTATTTGCGTGCGTTAGTTTATATTACAGTTCTAAAATTTGATTAAGTGTCCTCATGTATGTTAGTCACTAAGATATTGATGCAAATAAAAAAATTAGGTTTTTTTTATTTTATTCTCCATTTTTATATTTTTATTGTAGAGATTTGGCTAGATTTAGTGGATTTAGGATTTTTGGTACGTGAGTTAGTGGGCGTGAGTTGGCTTATCTTTTGGTTAATAACTTATCTTTTAAGATGATAAATAGAAGTTATCTGTTAAGTAGAAGTTATCTTTTATTATCTTTTTAGAAAGAAAAGATAACATAAGATTTAGAGAGATGACATGGGAGGGAGATAGATATTACGTGGGAGGAAATAGAGGGAAGTAAGTGACTTAGAGAGAAAATAGGGGCTTGGGGAAAACGTGTGGGAAAATCATGCAAGTTAGAGAGAGAATTTTATGGGTTTTTATTTCTTATGTTGTATTTAAAGGGAAGAGTCCCTCATTATAAAGATAGGAGAATGAGAATGAGTAAGAGTAAATTAATTTAGTGAAAAGATTTTTTTGGGGCGGACTCCCTTGCAGACTTTGAGAGAAGGTATATTTTCTCATCCCTTTTCTTTTTTTATTCTTATTATTATGGTTGTTATTTTCTCCCTGCATCAGATATGTTTATTAGTGATAGCTGGGCTTGTATTTTGTTTGAAAATTGAAATTGGACAGAATTATGTCTTTGGGTTCTGGTGTATTTTTATAGGCAAGGTTCTGCCCATAGTTGTTGTGAGTGGAGCGGGTACGGAAGTTGGAGTGAGAGCAGGAGCCTAGGATCGATCCATAGCTGAAGCTCCTACCTTGGGAGCGCCTGGGAGCTGCTTGATTTATATATACACACACAGAGTATTTCCAAGCAACCTAATATATAGTCGTGGGAGGCAAGGCACACAGGGGAA